ACCCCTACTCTTTTCGAGAAACGCCCTGGGATTTTTAATGACCACAGAGAGTCAGGACCTTAGTTTTACGTCTCATTTAAGGACAGCACCTGTTTACAGTATAGTGTCCCCATCACTATACTGGGGCATTAGGACCCAGGTGAGCACCAGCTGCTGGCCCCACTAACACCTCTTCCAGCAGCAACCTTAGTTTTTCCCAAGAGGTTTCCCATCCAGGTACTGACCAGCCTCACACCTGCTTAGCTTCAGTGGGTTGCCAGTTGTGAGTTGCAGAGTGATATGGCTGCTGGATAGCTCAGGATTATGGCTCAAGATGCACTCAAGAGTCAGAGCACTGACCAGCCGAGTCCCTCAGAAGACCCGAAGGAAAGCAGATTTCTTAGGTAAAAAAACATCACCGAGAGGATTAGGATTAAGCTGGTTTTGGATTGAAAATGAAATTTTCCAAGAAAAAGTTATTAACCTTCTTATACAATAGCCGAGGGAGCATGCATGTAAGGTGTCCTGTGCAGATTCATCTGATGCTTTTAGTGTTGTTCTGGAATTCCTGGGGTGAACAGTTTCAGCATGTAATGCAGTGCTGAAGGTCATTATGCTTGTGCTTTGGTGTTCATCTGTCTTGTACCTTTTTAATACTGGTGTGATAATGTATGTGTCACACATGCACGTATATTCAGAAGTCTGTAAGAAAACATGTTACATGGACTGCATTCTTTCTCCTGCAGAACTCAATGGTTACAGCTGTTCAAGGGTGCCACTACAAACTAATTCAACTGAAGAATACTATGCATAAACAGTTCCAATCACACAAGATGTCACCTGACCATCATGAACCCCCTGGTGACTTTCACATGCAAATGGATATGTAAACTACATTTTTACGTTTCTGTCAAAACAGCAAGTAAACTCTGCCTTTCCCTTTGTTTCCATAACGTCAAGTGAAGAGGCATCGTCCTGTGCAAAATACATTGAACCCATGGTAATGCAGACGTAACAGGACTCTTTTTTTATTTGATACCAGCAAAACTGAAAAGAAGCTAAATCCACCCTTTTTTTAAATGCCAACATCCGAAGTACTCACTCTGAATGCACTTTGAGGTCTGTGATCCTCTCATTCCAGGTCATTATCTATGACTGGGATTCTGAGGCAAACAACTGCTTCAGCGCCACCAGGTGGAAGGGTTTGGAAATACTCTGCCAAGGCTCTCACAGCCCCAGCCAAACGGCAAATCAAGCAGCTTCCAGGCTGCCTGCAGATACCTCTAATCTAATCAAGTCCTCTTGCTTGTCATTACAGAGGGTGTAGCATGCCAAAAGACGAATGACCAGACTCCACCAGCCTGCCTGCCCTTCCTCATACAGAAGTCACTGCTGTGAGCCAAAAATGACAACTAGCGATTCCAATTGGGTGGGTATTTGATAAGAAAGAAGTGGTGATTCTAGATGAAAAGAAATGCCAAGCACCTTTGTATGACTTTTGTGGTCAAAATAAAGATTTGGTACTCACTGCCGACACATTCAGGCCACGCATATTAGCGTACTGTGTAACATCACAAGCGACTTCATTACACAATGATAGCATTGATTTGATTCCCTCAAGACCAGTAGCATATTTCACATTGTGAAGTCCTCGAGCCCAGGCTGAAGAGCACACAAGCCATAGGAAGGCAAAGATAACGGTTATGAAGAAGTCCTAGAGAGAAAAAGAGGCAGAAGGGTAATTTTGCATTAGTACCCCTGAAACAACAATAGGTTCTGCACTATAACTTCTTTGTATCCTATGCTGATTGGCACATTTCCTTGAAACTGATTACAAGACAAAGGATATTTAATCAACATTATGTTGTTATGCATGTGCAACATTCATAAAAGCAGGCCAACTCAAATTCCAGCAAGAGGGTTGCATGGCGGTGTAGTGGTTAGGACTGCAGCCTTGTGCTTTTGGGGCCTTGGTCCAACCCCAGACCTGGGGTGTTATCTGCATGACGTTTGTATGTTATACTAATAATAATAATTTCTTACACTTATGTAGCACTTTTCTGGACACTCCACTCAAAGAGCTTTACAGGTAATGGGGACTCCCCTCCACCACCACCGATGTGCAGCATCCACCTGGATGTTCACATATGTTTCCTCCCACAATTCAAAGATATTCTGGTATGTTAATTGACTTCTGGGAAAAAATGGCCCCAATGTGTGTGTGTGTGTGCCCTGCAATGGACTAGTGTTCTATGATATTTCCTGCCTGCTGCTTGCTGGGACAGACTCCAGTTCCTGTGACCCTGTATTGTATAAAGCAGTTAGAAAATGGAAGGATGGATTTTTTCAGTGAGAGAAAGCCATTCAAACATTCTTGCTCACTAGGTCACTAGCAGCTTAAGGCCCACCTGTTTCTGGAAGGAACCCAGGAAAAATGCATTAACAGCATGACTAAGAAGTTTGTTTCTATTCCTCACAACTGTTTATGTAAAAGCGTGCCACCTACTTTCAGTCATAAATACTGCTCTCCTTAGTTTCCTCTCACGAATGCTTAACTTATACAAAACGCGCATAAGAAGTGTGGGTCTTCATTCTTGTCTCTCAAAATTATGATTTGCTATGAGGAATGTCCACAAACACTTACCTATCCTTTGCACTTGCAGCAGAGAAAGAAAACCAAGAAAAGAGTATTATGCTGGTTTCAGACAGTAAACATTTGTGAAAAATGAGACATTCGCTTACCTTTGAAAACAAAATTATAAATACAGTACATAGAAAGAGGTGGCGCAGTTTCAGTCACACAAGTATGCACTGCTTGTCACATGTTCTTGTCTTCAGTTTAAGACATCTTTAGGAAATCATTTAAATATCAGTGCTATGTAAGGCAACTTTTGACTGTAAATTCATTTTAATGAACTTGTTAATGTACAGTTTCCTGCGCTGAAAATGAAGGTTTGGGTTGATTGTGTAACATGTTTTAGCAGGAATATCTGTCCTAAAAAGCTCTGACAAGAGGAAATAAAAGCTATGTTGATCTCCTTAAAGCAAACACAGAGTGCAGCTGAGGATAGTAATCATGTGAGGGAAGCAGTCATCTGAGTACAGCTCTGGTTCCATGTAAAAAAAGCAGTGGCAACACTGAGTTTTTTTTATCAATAGTCATTGTATACAATGTTTATATGCAATACGGTAACATGAAAAATGTATCACAATAATAGTAAATCGTCATCTACACTAAACTGCTATAGGCAATCACTGGAAATGAAAGTCTCAAATAACATTTATATACAGTATGTATAAGACACAAACATCATTAGAAGGCTTACAAAGCTTTGCAAGTCTTCTCATTAAAATTGTACAATTAATAATAATAATTTCTAAATCTTTGCAGAAGAAAAAATATTTTATATGTCTTTTCAAAGCACATAAAAATGTTAGAAAGCTAGTTCTTTTCTTGTCTAAGAACCCAGTATTACCACCTCATAACCTGATCATGTCAGATCACAGAAGCTAAGCAAAGCTGGGCCTGGTTAATACTGGGAAGGAAGACCCCCCCCACAGAAAAAAACGAGGGATGTTGGTGGACCAGTAGGTGGTGCTCTTCCTTCTATTCTAGAACCTGCTATCCAATGCAATCGTATGGTGACCAGGGATGCTGTGCTGTCCCTCAGTTGAGATGTCTAACTGATCTGCTGTGTAGTGGGGCTGTTGGCTCATAATGGGAACCTTTTTATGAAGCACTTTGGGAATCCTTTTAATGAAAAGCAATATAGGGGCAGCACTGTGGAACAGTGGTTAGCATTGTAACCTCACAGCACTGAGGCGATGACACATATATACTGAGATTTTAAATGAATTTTGCCTCATCCACAAAACATTAGAACAAGAAAAAATACAGAACTAAGTTTAATATTAATATTTTCTATCAATGTAAATAGAAAGAAGGAGTGATTTATTTTCCTACTTACTACCATTGGCCCAAGGTTTGAGTCCCTGTAAATATGCATATATCCAATATATATGACCAAGGCAAAAATACAGTAGAGGAAAGCCAGAACAGCAATGGCAACAAAGAACTCTGCTGAAGAGGATGAGTCCCCAACTAGACGTGTTTCTGGAACAGTGCGGTTGCAAAGAATTGAATTGTTTGACACTAGCACTTCCTGGCTTAACCTGTAAAGAAAAGAAGAAAAAATATTTTACATAAAGAAACAATTATCTGTTTCATGCCTGATGGTTATCCTCATGTGCTCAGTTTGACGCTACTTAAAAGTTACTGCCTCTCCCTTCACAGTCCAAAGCACATACTGTAGATGTGCACACATAGCAATGCATGAAATCTGCGGGTTTCTAACTAAAGTTCTGGTAGCCTAAGCAACCACTGAGTATTCCTGTTATTATTTACTGCTGGATAATCTATACTTTTCTTCCAGCAAGGCCATAAATTTGTCACATGAAGAAAGCCTGAGAAAGGCCACTATTCCTACAATAGACTGTGGGTTCATAACATCATGGCAGTGTGCCACTTACGAAAGGCATAATAAAAGAGGTATTTATACTAAGTAAGAATGCTCAGCAACTATGTTTAGGGTTTTTTCTGGACACTCGCCTATACTTTACATAAAAGCCTGTCCACTGTGGTTGTAATGGTGCAGTGCATGCTGCTTCAGCTATCTCTCATATGAAATTAAATCCACAGAGCACAGAAAGTGTAATGAAAGCATCATCAAGCACTGCTGTAACTTACTTGAATGGGTAGGCAAAATTGACATTCAAGGTATCATTTCTGCCTTCTCCACACCACAAAGACACTACATTTTTTCCACTGTACCCTCCACAAGTAGCAAAAGCAAACACCCCAAAAATCTGGAAGACAAAATAGATAGTAATGAAACTCTGGAAAAAAAAAACTATAAGGGGCAAAGTAGGCTTTTACAGAATTAATAGTCGGCCTACACTGAGTGGCTTGCCCACAGAACAAATTACTAGCTGAAACACAAAATACTTAACATCACAAAAAGTTGCAGATCTCTCAAAAAATAACCTCAACTCTTTCATGAAATTGCTAGAAAAAGTATCCAACTAAATAACACTAATAGTAACAAGAAACATTATAGGCATATATGGGTGATACATATAGTGCACTACAGCAGAGTTTCTTTTTGTGATAGTGTTATTAATTTTCAGAAAAACATCATCATCTTACTAGTGTAACGGAAGTAACAACAGATACGGACACACAGAGAGTGATGAGGCTTTTGATAAAGTTCCTCTAAAAAGAGTAATTCTCAAATTATAGGCAATAGGCATTAAAGATACAGCATATACTCTAGTTAGAACTGGTAGAGTAGGTTAATGGACAGGAAAGGGATGATACAGATATGTATGAAATTCTTAAAATGGGGTGTTATAACCCAACTCCTGTGGCAGTACCTCAGGAATCTGTATTAACACCACTGCTCCTTTGATTTTCTACCAACAATCTAGATTCTGGCATAGTTAGCAAAACAGTCAAGTTCACAGATTTTACCAAATTAAGAGGATTAGCAATAAGCATAAAAGCTGAAAAAAGAAACAAGTTTAAAAACATTTTGTCCAAATTCTGACTACACAAAAACACCTGGACTATATAATTTAAGGTAGACAAGCAAAGAGCGCTGCATGCAAGTAACAAACAAAAACTGGAAATAAAATATAAATAAAAACCAGAGCTTGAAGACACTAGTTATGAGAGAAAATAGTTTACATGCAAAAACGTATATGCAAAAAAAGTAAGATATTACAGGATAGACGAGCCTAAATAAAAGAGTTGAGAATGAATCTAAGGATGTTATGTTAGAAATGTACAATGTGCAAGTACATTAAAAAAACGTTTTACAATCTTGTTAAAAAAATATACAGTATATTACTGCACTGGAATCAATCAAAGTTCACAGTTAACAGAAAAGTAATAAGGTACATTTCCAGTCTCAAAGGAATGTCTTATAATGAGCCTAAAACAATCAAATCTTTTAGCCTTGAACAGAGAAGACTGGGAGGGTTTCCTGATTACAGTATTCAAAAGCCACAAAGTCAATGAAACATGGAATAGAGAAAACAAATGGAAACTAAGGGGAAGTAAATAATAATTAATCCTTGCATTTACATAGCACTTTTCATCACAGATCCTAAAACATTTCACACACAGGAGGAGACCCGCTTCAGTAAGTGCTGTTCCCTTCTGGGTAACATACAGCAGCCATGAGGCACTACCAACTCCCCTTGACAACAGATCAGGCAGAGGAGTTTCAGCTACTGAAGGAAGGGGGGAAGGTCAGACACAGCGGAAATTAGCCAGGACACCAAGGAGTAACACCTCCACCTGGAGATCTGGAATGACTATGTAGGCTGGACCACGGTTTAAAATCTCTTCACCTATAAAGATGGCACAATGTCCCCAGTTGCCATTGGGTTTCAATTTGGGAATTCATGGAAAGAACTCCCAAGCCCGGACCTGCAACCTATGGGTCCACCACCTGCAGCAGCAAACCTAATTTGCTAGGAGACCTTCCATCTCAGTACTAACAGGCTACAAGGTGGCACCAACATTTAAAATGGAGACAGGAAGTGCCTCTTTTTCACAAAGGCTTCAGTGACTCTGGAATAAGTTACCCAGCCATGCTGCTTAAAGCCAATATCCAGGCTTCTTAAAAGACATGTCTAGAGGAGATCCTCGGATCAATTAGCTGCTATCATCCAAATGGGTATGATGGGCTGCATGGCCCCTTCTTGTTTGTAATCTTTCTTATGCTCCAGCTGATGTCATCGTTTCTTTCGAAAGAAGTCCGAAACCTGTGTGTCTGGAATAAATCAAAACTTTAAACGGCCTACTAATCACATACTCCAAACCAAGAAGTTGATGGCAGCTTTCCATTGGGTAAACACAAGCAGCCTTTGGCAGAGAAAAAAACTGCCATAGAGAGATATTTAGAAATTGAAACTGCTTGGTCAATGTTTCTGACCTAATCAAATATAGAAGAACAGTCAAGAATACTGCTTCCAGGATCAAAGATTAAAAAAAATAATATTTGCAAATAGTTATTAGTTTGCAATAACCAGGGGTATACGACAGGTGCTGTAAAACAATGTAGTCAGGAGAAATATCAGTAGCACTAATAGAATGCACCAATGTGACCCCAATGTGAGCCCTTTCCTATTATGACCTGCCGTAATGCACACACACAGCAGTATGAGCCTACCATTTAGGGAAATGCTTACACCACAGGCCAAAAGAAACAAAAGAAGAATCTTAAATATGAATTAAGAAGCCAAAAGGGACACTTTACACAACATCTTACAAAAATGGCTCAAGTGGGGATGTACATCAGTTAACTGGCTGCAAAGGAACAAGCAAAGGTTAATTCCAAACTGAAAAGTAGAAAGAAAATGCACAATGTTTCAGCTGCTGAGCCTTCTGACATATTGCATTATTCATTCTACTTTTCATCACACAAAAATTAAATATTTTGCAATTTATGTCCAGCTTTTAGTTGAGTGGGGCAAAGGCTCAGTTACAACACTGTGTTGTTATTCTGTCACTTACTGACATTAGTCTGGCACCAGTGATCTCATTGGAATAAACTTAAGTCTTTGTCTGCACAGAACCTTTAGCAACTATCTAGTGACAAGAGACGATGTTGTTTATTATTTGACAGTGTGTTGCCTTCTGTTCAGTCTGAACAGCAAGCTTCTTCTAAAACTTGTCAGGAAAATCGATCATTTTTAAGATTCCACCATTAAAGGAAGGGGACTGCCAAATCTTTAAAAAAAACAAACAACAGACTTGAAAAGCTGAAAGCTAAATGCAATGTTTCATTACAGGAAATAACGAGAAGTAAAATGCAAGCAAACACAATGAAGGATTAAAATATCAGGAAAAACCATAAAGTTTTTGAGGGAGTTCCAACTAAAAGATCAACAAGTATAAAATGCTTTTACTTACAATACTTGCCACTTAAATGCACAGAACATTTTTTTTTACTTCTTATTTTGTAAGGACCTGGACATTTCTAACAAGTGAAAAATAAGATTGATTTCAATGCACAGATTTAAGCAGAATGTTTGACTGATGATGATATATTTGGGATAACAGTGGCACTTTCATTTTGCAATACCAGGTATAGTACCTACTGTAAATTAACCATATTCAGCATCAACTGACTCAATTTGCCAGCAGCCATATGGCCCTGCAACTCTCAACTGCCAACCCACTGAAGATTAAGCAGGTGTGAGCCTGGTCAGTACCTGGATATGAGACCTCCTGGGAAAGCTAAGGTTGCTGCTGGAAGTCTGTGTGGCTCCTAATGCCCCTGTAAAGTGACAGGGACATTATACTGTAAAATAGTGCTGTCCTTTGGATTAGATCAAGGTCTGGGCTCTCTGAGGTCATTAAAAATCCCAGGGTGTGTCTTGAAAAGAGTAAGGGTGTTACCTCCTTATAATCCCCATCTATGAACTGGTTTCATCACTCTGTTCTCCTCCCCACTGATAGCTGGTGTGTGGGGAGCATTCTGGTGCACTATGGCTGCTATCGCATCATACAGGTAGGGGCTGCACATTGGTCCAGAAAAGCGCTATGTAAGTGTAAGCAATTATTATTATCATCATCCATTTTCTAATCACTTTATCCAAGACTGGTGCAAGGCAGGATACACTCAGGTTGTAGCTCTAACCAGTCAAACCAGTCTTACCACTAATTTTTGTGTTTTAAAGTCACAAGCTATCATTCAATCTTATAAAATAATCTAAAATTATTATATAACTTTATTTACATGAGTTAGGAGTAATAAAATCTACTCCATTGTATCTCAGAAAAACCTTTTCATTTCAGAGAGTCTGAAAACAATGGGTAGTTTGCACAGGTGCAAGACAAGTAAACACAAAAGATCAAAAGGGATATTCTGGCGATTTACTCTGGTTAACCAGAATAAAGAATAAACATTCAACACAGGAAGGCAGCGTATTAAGAAAGGAAGGAAGGAGAATCAACAGGCAAGAGGACCTTGATCTGATCAGTCCTGGAAACCAGATTCTGGCTCTGTAATTTGATCTTTATTTAAGAGAGCTTGCTACACTCATATTTCAGGCAATTGTATTTTGGAATCCTCAGACTAAAACTCTCTTAATTTCATGATGCAATGTTAGAATAGGAAGTCAGATTCCCTTTCACCTTTGAGCATCCAAAACATAGGAAGGGAGATGTAGCTCTGGGTAATATTGTTTTACTTAGGATGCAAAGTTTACTTCTCGTTTGCCTGTTTAGGTTTTAATATGGTGTTTCATTTCTTAGAGATAGAACTCTGGGTTATCTGGGTGTGTAGAATGTAGGCTTCTGAGATGCTTTGTTCTGTAATTAGAGTAGCCGGTATATGTGTTTGTGGTAAATATTGTGTGTTGTCTAGTTGTTTTATTGTATTGTTATTCTTGTTGTCCCATAAATATTTGTTTGGCCTAGTTTGCCTCTGATTTATAAGTCTTTTGTCAGAGCTGGACCAGAGACAAAAGAAGTTGCATGCTTCAAATTACACCTACAGCTCAGGTATATCTTTGACATTTAAATTATTTTATTTGCCACTCTTTCCTGACAACCACGTGTGTAACAATACAATATAAACATTACAAAATATTATTTTTTCTATATACAAACTTGGGTGTTTATGGTGACACATGGCTCACATCTTTCATATAATATATGGAAGGAATAAAAATGGCAAACAAAATGATCGGGTATATACAGTCATGTGAAAAAAAAAGTACACCCTCTTTCAATTCAATGGTTGTACATATCAGGGCATAAATAACAATCGTCTGGTCCTCACCAACTTCTATAATTAGACAAATCTAGCCTCAGATAACAGACAACACATAACAGATTTCACTACGTCATTATTTATTCAACAGAAAGTAAGCCAAAATGCAGAATCCATGTGGGGAAAATTAAGTACACCCTTAGTGCTTCCATAAGAATTTAGATGGTAATTAGCAGCCTGGGGCTGCTAATCAAATGTACTTGATTAGTTGATAATCAGGAAGTGTGACCACCTCTATAAAAACAGAACTTTTAGCAGCTTGGTGGTCCGGAGCATTCAGGTGTGTGTTAACACCGTGCCAAAGAGAAAAGACATCAGCAATGAACTCAAGAGAAGTAAATGCTACTGCTCACCAACCTGGGAAGGGTTATAAGGCCATTTCCAAACAATTTGAAATCCATCATTCTACAGTGAAAAGGATTATTTACAAATGGAGAAAATTCAAGACAGTTGCCAATCTTCCGAGGAGTGGGTGTCCCAGCAAATCCACCCCAAGGTCAGACCGTATAATGCTCAGAGAAATCGCAAAGAACCCAAGAGCTACATCTAGGGACCTACAGGCCTCGGTTAACACGTTAAATGTTAAAGTTCATAACAGTATGATCAGAAAAAGACTGAACAAGTATGGCTTTCATGGAATGGTAGCCAGGAGAAAGCCCCTTCTCTCCAAAAAGAATATGGCAGCACGGCTTAGGTTTGCAAAGTTGTATCTGAACAAACCACAGGATTTCTGGAACAATGTCCTTTGGACAGACGAGACGAGATGTTTGGTTATTATGCACAATGCTGTGTTTGGCGAAAACCAAACACAGCGCATCACCATAAACACCTCATACCAACGGTCATGCATGTTGGTGGAGGGGTGATGATTTGGACTTGTTTTGCAGCCACCGGAGCTTGGCAACTTGCAGCCATCGAGTTGACCATGAACTCCTCTTTATACCAGAGTACTCTAGAGACAAATGTGAGGCCATCTGTCCGACAGCTAAAGCTTGGCCGCAATTGGGTCGTGCAACAGGACAATGATCCCAAGCACACCAGCAATTCTATAACTGAATGGCTGAAAAAGAAAAGAATCAGGGTGTTGGAATGGCCAAGTCAAAGTCCAGACCTCAACCCCATTACAGTGGCGGGACCTTAAAGGAATGCCCTCAAACATCAATGAACCGAAGCAATGTTGTAAAGAACAGTGCGCCAAAATTCCTCCAAAACGATGTAAGAGACTGATACACTCATACAGAAAACGATCACTTCAAGTTATTGCTGCTTCAGGTGGTTCTACAAGCTACTGAATCATGGGGTGTACTTAGTTATTCACACGTGTTGGCTTAATTTGCATTAAATAATGTTGTGTTTGTCACCTGTGGTTAGATTTACCTAATTTTAGGACCTGGTGAGGACCAGATGATTTTTTGTTATGTCCTGATATATAAAACCATAGAATTGAAAGAGGGTGTACTCACATGACTGTAATCTAAAGTGTAGAATTTAAATCAAGGCATGTCATATTACAGTTGAATAATACATTACTTGAACTTCATTTAGAGTATTTTGTACAATTTTAGCCATCATGTAACAAAAAAGATATTGCTGCTGTGGAAGTCTAGAGAACCGGAGCACCAGGCAGTCTGAGACTTAAGGAATGTCCTACAGACACCCTGAAGGAACTGAACCTTTTTAGTCTTCAGCAGAGAAAACAATGAGGGAAACTGTTATTAGTATTTACAATTATAAAAAGGCTCTCACTAAGTCAACCTTCAAAATGAGCAGTGAAAGTGTGGAAGCACCTTTAAAAGAAAGAACAGGCAGCAGCTTTTCAAAGGGTTGTAGGAGAGAGGCACAAGCTACTCAGCCATGCAGCTGAAGCCAAATTAGCAGAATGAAATCCTTGAATGAATTAAATGGCTTCCTCTCCTTTGTAACCTTTCTTATGTTCTTATAATAATTTCCTGTTTTCTAGGTTTCTCTTACACGTACAGGGGCTTTAATCAGTTGGAAAAATGTGTCATTTCATTTTACCCTTTACATTTCTCATGGGGTAGTTACAAGGAGTGCGATTTTAAAGATAAAAACTTTATATTCCGCGGTATCTATTAATTGCATTCCTCTCTGGCCTAAGGTTTCACAGTCATCTGATATACTGTACACGCTTCCGTTGGTAGAGAAATTTGTCCATGAAGCAAGTTAAAGTTTTCGAAAATTAAATTATTCGGGGGGAACAAAACACAGGCAAATCCAAGATTTAAAAAGTTACGTGAATTTTGTATGAACTAATTGACATGGCTATGGAAAAAAAACTTTGGACCGCGTTTTAATATTCATGCAAGGCTACTACAGTATTACCATATTGCGAAAATAACTTAAAAGGTAAGTATAATGCACTTTAATGCATGACATGGTAGTTCTGGATATAACTGTTACAGTACAAAAAGTTAACGCCCACCCTCCGAAACGATGAACAGGAGAATAGGGGAAAACATCTAGACAGATCAAAAATATTAATTAGCCATGAACTTACAGTATTAGAATATATATATATATGTGTTTACGAATCAATGCAAGAAGCATAGAGACTTCGTAAAAATGAAAATGCAAATATATTAAAACGACACAGTTTACGTTTTAACATGAAACAATAACTGCCGGCAAAAGGGGGGCTGGGAGGTCTCGTAAAATTTTCCACGACGTTGATTGCTAATTCATCCGCCACCCAAACTCTGCTGACACTGGAGAGTCCCTGAAACGACGGTGTGAAAGGACGGCCACTGTACATCCTTAACGTCAGGCCTGGCGTCCCCGAGCTATATTTGAGATCTCCCCCACCCCAACCTGCTCCCCTCAATTTTCAGTTTTCATAACCAACAGGCCATTGGGGTCAGGGTGTCTCTAATTAAAAGTCCAAAACTTACCCATTCCAAGACTCTGAGGAAGCCCAGCGGCTCTTTCAGGGGAGTGAAATTTAACCGAAGTCCCGTCATCTTCTAAAATACATACAGCACACATAAAAAATCTTCAACTGCAAGTTTATGACCAGCCCAGTCAGCCAAATGTTTCCTTAAAGTGCAAAAGCCTCGATTCCCTTCAAAACCTTTTCAGTTTAAAGCAACTCATCCCGTTCCCCCCCATATTTTTACCTGAACCACCCCGTCCAGAAAATCTGTTTGTCGTTAGGGGCAGATGCAGACTTAACGTTATATTACCCCGCACTTCGTTGTTCGAGGTGGATGCCTCTGAAATCCCCATTAACATGGCAAAACTTGAGAGGGGGGGGGGGAACTACATTAGAGGCTAAAAAACTCCCTTCTCCGTTCTCACGTCGACCCCCGGTGTAATGTTAAATTTCTCTTTCGATTAGGCGTATTGCATTATCGGTGCTGTTGCAGAATGTACTTACTGTGATGTCTCCAACCGAAATACTTTTGCTCTTCTAAAGTAATACCCAGCCTTCACCTCGACACTCCTTTAAATCTGTACCAGCAGCTCCTTCTCCTCCCGTTTGACAGAGCTGGCGAATTTGCTTTCTCTGCTTGCTCAGGAAAACGGGTCATATGACTTCTTAAAATGAATCCCGCGAACTCCCAATATCTTGAAGCAGGAGAACTGTAGGCATCGCAGTGGTTTCTTATGACTTTCGATTAACGCGTTAGCTGCTGGCGACTCAAGGCGAACATCCACCCCTCGCACTATCGTCCTCGTAAAAACAGAAAGTTTAAACTATTGTGGCACTATAAAAATAGTCTGAAATTACGAAAAAAAGAATCAATTCATTAATTTTAGTAACCCCCAATAAATTAACAATAGCTGAAAACGGTTACCGAGTACAGACTAGTCTTGCTTCAACTGGACACCTACTATAAAGAAACTCTTAAGATTCTAACTGGGCATCAGACAAAATTTAAGATTAATTTAAAGATTTGCTTACTTTTTAGCCGGAAAATTATCTAAAAGACAGGCCAACGATTTAGACACTTGCAAATTATTCTAGTCGTTTCTCAACAACAACAACAACAACAACAACAACAATAATAATAATAATAATAATAATAATAATAATAATAATAATAATAATAATAATAATAATAATAATAGCCTGACTGGTGTAACGAATACGCCCCTGCGTATAAGGATCTCAGACCCTGTGCTCAAGTTTGTATTTTACATTAATATCTGCCACTTTTAAAAGGTGCGTTCGTCCGCTTTAGGGTGTATATGCTAAATATGCGATATTTTGCTTATTGTTTTAATTTTCTGATATAGTTAAATATGAGAAGAGAAACTGCTAGCTGAAGCTGAAGATATCCAGGCTTAAGCAACACATAGACAAGATCCTCGGATCAATTAGCAACCAGCAATTTAAATAGGCTAGACGGACAGCAAGACCTCATTTGTAACCTCTATGTTCTTGTAGTGCTTAATGTTAAGTAATCCATACAATGTATTTTTGTTTGGTCATCAAGAGAGTCATCAGCACTGCAAGTAAAAGTTGCAATAATTTCGCAATACTGTCACATGAAACATTATCAATAAAATGACCTTAAAAGCATCTATTACCACCGCCTTAAGTTCTAACAGTCATTTTAAATATCAACCCCTATATTGCCTCAGTGACTATTGAGTTTCTTTTTCACCTTTACTGCAAGCAGGAGGCATTCAGGAAAAGACGAGAGTGGATTCTGTGTGTACAGATAAGGTGTAAAAGCTCACACCGAGGTTATATAATTACCATGGTACGTATATAGGCTAGTATTTCATTATCTGTCCAGATACACAGTAGTAGATACGTTTAAATCAGTCGGTCTGTAATAAAATAATTGTAGTAAAATATTTTTGTGGAAAGGGTAGAGGTAGTCACAATGCTATTCATAAGATAAGATAGATAACGTGGGTAGCTGCGTCAGCACGCATAGGCTGCAAAGGAAGGTTTATTCCATGCTGAAAAGAGAAAAACACACAACGTTTAGGCCTTGGAGCCTTCTTCAAGTGTCTGACACCTGAATACAAAGAAACGTTGTGTTTTCTTTCTTCTCTTTTCAGTACGGAATAAACCTAGTACTTGTTTCTTTGCCATACTTATTAGCCATATACTATTGCATTAGGAATTAGTCTTTCGCATACCCCAGCTTGCTCTCCATGAGACACACAGATGGGGAGAGAGTGCAGGGTCAGCCATTTATACGGCACCCCTGGAGCAGCTGGGGTTAAGGGCCGTGCTGAGGGGCCAATGGAGTTGGATTGCTCTGCCAGCCGCGGGATTTGAACCTTCCAACCACAGGTGCAAATTCTTAGCCATAGTGCCACTGCTCCGCCCAAAACATATTAAGGAAACATTAAGAGGTTAAAAATCAGTGTCATATGATAATCCTATAATAAGTGAATCTTTAATCCACTATGTATTCTTTCTTTAAAAAAAATCCGAAAGATATCTCTCAATTATATTGTATGGTGACTGGAATCAACCTATTAATTTTGCAAGTCTCAGTTATAAGAAATACAGAAGAGTGTGGCAGGTTTTCCCACAATCAAACAAAACCTAAAGTCAGTTAAGTTCTATTATTGTACATAGACCAAAGTTTTCATTTAGGATATTACTGTCTGCATAGAAATGCAAACGATAGGAATTTTACATTTCAGTTGCATCTCAACACATTTTTCAAAATGTCCTATTAAGAACAATCATTTATAATACTACAAATGTAAATATAGAGGAATGCCTTTAGGATTATACAGTATCTCACCCTTCTCCTTCTGTTGAGCCCTGACTTTGATCCAAATACACCAGTGTGGAATGGATTCAAATGCAGGTTAAAGGGTTGAAAAAAGTAACCTTGAAATCAGGACAAAGTCTGGAGTAATTTGTAGGAAGTTCACACTTGCTATTATTAGAATTCTCTCACAGCAAGTGGATGGAAACAATATACTAAATTTCATCCATGACATATTTACCCCACAAATAAATAATTAATAAAATGAATCACCCCACATTAATTTCAGCAGAATATTGTATATTTGCATCCAAGAGACATTTGGGAAATTTGTTTTCTACATTTCAAAAAGAAAAACCTTTAAGTTTCAATTTCTGCAAAAAAATATTGATTCCTTAAAAATTAATTCATTCCCTTTTCCAAAAGACATCCTTGGACAGAAAATTGTGAAATGGTATTATCAAACTAATTTTGTTTCCCATTTCAGTTTCCTGAAATCCAGTCCACAGCTAGGACACGTTTTCTTCCCAAAAAATACCAACCTCTGATGGCAGTTGGAAAAGAGAATGCAATCAATTTTACAATTAAAAACAAAAATATTTCAGCAAATAGATACGGTGGTCACATAATATCTTAACAATATAGCCACAGCATGTTATACAAAATTGTAAGGGGGGGAAAAAAATTGGAAACAACACACAGGTACATAAAAGAAAACACTTTACAAGCATTGAAAACCAAAATATTCCTCCAGCATTCATACAGTAGTGTACACTCACTCAAAGCTTAATAGGAGACCAAACAGAAAAACAGGCAAGGGGAAAATCGACAGATTACCCCTTGGTATAAAATGAGGTTATTCCGATTGAAACAGATTTTACACAATCATTACATCTTTCTTGAATCCCGTACAACAGATTTCTTCTCGAAGAGGAAAAACTATTGGTTGTAAGCGAAAGGGCAGTTTGGCCACACCACCTAGCAGGAAGTGAGAGAATCCATGTTCTCAAAGCTTTTGCGAGATTGTTCATGATACACTTTTCATAGATGTCGGTGTATCGCGATACATTATACTCCCGTTTTTCATGATTGTATTGATTTTTAAATAAAATTGCAGATGCAGAAAATTATAGTCCATCGCCATGACTGTGGTTACTTAAAAAAATGCAGACCTTCAGTTTTGATTCCTATTTCTCTATGAGTCCTATTAAACATACACGTTACAGTCGAAACAAAACCAGCAGATCCACTTCACTAAATCAACTATCTTGAACATTATGACTCTCATAATTATTTACATTGTGACTGTAAATGATGCTAAGATAAAATGTTATCTACGAAAATATATAATCCGACTAATCAGAAAACCTTTATCTAACATACTTTACAGGATCTTAATAATTTTAAATTACATATCAACCTTCCTCTGCTCAGTGACTAAATTGGTTATACAATTTAATTAACCTGCGGCGATTAAAAAGCAGGAAAGGATGCAATTGAATTACGGAAGTCCGCTGAGTTCTTTTGGTGCCACCATGAGGAGCGGAGAGAAATCATGCAGTAGCTAAAATGACCCTCTGCTGTTTAATCATAAAGAACTGAACTCGTTTTTCTCAGAAAAAGGTGGTTTGCAAAATTGGTTAACATGATATTTCAGAAACATCACCTGAAATACACACTGGTTTGTCCTTGAGCTCAACCCAGTGGTGTATTGTTTAGTGGCGATTCCTGAATAACTACATGATTTTGAACCACTTCTGTGGGGATCTGGAAATGCTATTTGCAAGTTTACTGAACAGACATGAGCCTTCCACTAACATCGTGATACGGACCAAATCGAGGTTTGTGTATATTCATGGTTGCAGCATCGAATGCATCATGAATACTGTGATACTGGCCTACAGCCTCATTCTTTACACACACATTCACTGCTGCAATTTTCAAACTATTAATCCTTTGTTTAATAAAAAAATCATTTCTCTAAAATTTCATCCAATGCTACTGTATCAAAATTATAAAATTACGTTCTTGTAAAATTATTCCAGTTTATTTTCCATGATTTATTAAAACTGTGGCATATAATCGTTTTTCTAATAAAACAAAAGTTAAAATGTATTACTGAATATATCTGTACTACACAAAATGAAATAGTTTTAAAGACCGGTTACATTTATTTCCTTCTTATGTGCTACATCTTTTGGAAAAGATCCTGACGTCACCAACACATGAACTGTTGGGCTTCTACGTAATAGGCCATATCAAGGGCATTATTTGGCATCTGCAACACAAAACAGCTCCATTTTGTAAAGTTAAAAGGCAAACCATCTGGAAAAATAAAAGGTAACAAAAATAAAAAGTGCTTTATTCCCAATCAAATAGGTCATTTGTATAAACTATTGTTAAAACACGTCAGTGACAAGTACTAAACTTTCAGCATACACTACCTTTACACTCAGCAACATTTAACAGATATCTTTAGGTTCTACAGCTTTTTTAGAAACTTGCATAAATGTACATTTGCCGTTTGTTTTCCGTTTTCTTTCAAAGGAGTATAGTTGAAAGGTTTGAGTGTATATACAGTATAAATGCGATTTATTTGTGGTCATATCGTGTTAACGTTTGTATCCCCATTAGTAACAGTACAACAAAACGTGGATTCTGAACTTTACAAGACAATCCAGATTTGTACACAAATCCCAGTTACACTCCACGCTTTAAAAAAAAAAAGCTCTCTTACACCACCCAGGGTTCTTTTGCGTTACAATCTCCTTCACTTGGATACAGGTGACCGAGCTCGTATGAGGGAGACCGTGACGGAAGCCATTTTCTCAGCCCACTGCCCTGGGATGGGTGCGGAATGATATTCAGTGAAGAAGCTCCTCCAGCTCGGACTCCTTCAACTTGGCGTTTTCCCTCACTTCATCAAACGTGTACGTCTTGAGTATCTTGCCATTTTTGAAAACCGTATGAAGCAGATCCTATGGAAGAAAACAGAGGGAGAGTTCAAAATCTACCTACAGAAACATGGTGCTTATGTTACATGATGTGTAGCAGCAATGCTTTTAGATAACAGAGAATGGAGTATTGCCGTAAAATTTTAATTGGGGCCTCGCTCTGTGGTCTTGGCTACAGAACAGTCTTATTGGATTCTAGTGTGCTAAGATGAGCCTTCTCGATATAAAAGACATCCTAGGACAGTGACAAGAATCAGGCCAGTTCTCCCCATGATGGACATCCACCAATGGGCACTTCAATTGTCAACAAACAGAGACGAGCCCATCTGGACACTGATCTCAAACTGATTCCGTTCACGGTCAAAACATCCAACAGAGGACCAACCAATCAGGTATCTGAAGGGTGTGAAAACCCACCTCACCACAACCAATCAACAACTGCAATTTTTCAGGTTAAAAGACACTACCCTACTGCCCTCTTGGCTTCTCCCCACTCAATCAAAACCTGGCCAGTTGACAACCACGTAACTGCCACTACCATTGTCTGAGACATGAACTGAGAGCCTGTACTCTTCTCCAGGCCCCGCCTGTAGCAAGATCCTGCTACTGACTAGCCAGCCATAAATCCCCTTGATCACTGAAGACAATATGGCTGCACTTTCGTTGACACAGCTAAATATCAATATTAAAAAGTAGCTGCTATGTTGGGAGCAAAATGGGCTTCTCCTCACCAGTGACTCACTGGGACCAGAGTCCACTTCGTGCACAAACCTTAGACTTTAGCTCAGCTGAACACTAACCAGGAGGACCTCAGCAAGGGAACTGACTGTCAGCCCCAGATGCGTAACAATATACATTGCTAACTTCTTCAGCCTGGATTCTGTTTGGATTCCAGACGTCCCATTTCACTGCCGTTTCACGTTCTTTGTGAAAACTGAACTGTTTTGTTTCAAGGGTTCTTGGTGCTCTCTCTATGAGATAGATTTTTACGTCTTTCCATTTTCACATCTTTTCACACAGCCTCAACTAAACTTTAAGCCTAATTTCAGAAGCAAAATACAATGCAATTAACTAAAATTGGTGACTGAACTTACTGAATTAGAACTTTCTACACTAGTTTAAATGGACTTGCACAGGTTAAGTTGCAAAACCCAATTAAAATCACTTAAAATCTAGAATGCATGCCACCAGACGGTCCATTTCTTTAAAAAAAGGCAAGAAATGAACAATTAGAAAAAAAAAATTACATGAGCCCTAAATTTTACTGTACGTCAAGCATTTTCTTGTTAGTTCCCACAGAACTAATGAGAAAGAAGAAATTAATTAATCAAAGCCCGTTTAGAGTGCATACCAACAATTCAAGAAATCTACAGCGACAGCAGAGCAAATACAGCAGCAGCCATTACAACAGAGCAGAAATAACAGACCTCAGATTCTGTGAACAACTGAGAGGGCTGACTTCTATAGTTATTTATTATAACAAAATTGACAAACTATAAATATAACGAGGCAGGAATACAGTAATTAGATCAAATTATAATCTGAACATCAATCGAGTGATTATTCCCATTTCCTTTCAAGAGAACCAGATATACAAGTGGAAAAGCACAATAATATCATGAACATACCGCTCCATATTCTTCCAGATCCCCCTTGCCTTCCTCTAAGGTAACAAATTCTCCATTCGGCCTTTTGTGAAGAGACAGACGACCTTTCTTCGACCTTTTGTTAGGATCTGCCACGGGATCCTTGAACACATTTACCTGCAAACAAACACAATGTCTTATTACAGCATAATGGTGTTTTTGTCCATATACTAAAGCACTGTGTGTAGGACAACATAGTCCTGCTTAACACATCACTTACTGTGAAATGCTTAGAAATAGTTCATGTGTGTGATTAAATACATGGGTCACAAACACTGCATGAGCAAAACCTCCCTGCACAACCTAACACCCAGAAGCTCTTGAAGGTAGGTAAGAATATAGGACCATATAGAATATAGAAGGCCATGAACAGAACTCTCATGAGCAGATGTGAAAAGGCCAAACTCATCACATTCCATTAAAACCATTTGTTAGGTATGCACTGCACTCATCCAATAAAATAAAAATATATGCTTTGCCAACCCTTAAAAAGGCCATTACATGCAAGAAGATCCTTACATTTTTGTATTTGTTTTTCAAATAAAAAAAAGACCTTTCAGGATTTTGCCTTCTTTCAATGATAAAAGGAATGAAAAAAACAGATACAGGAAGTCACCCAGCAAAACATATATAATCACAAGTATGTACGATAAGAACAGTAACTTAAGAGAACAAACAGATTTTACTTACACCTAAACCATTCGTGACCACATAGCTGCATTTAAAAGAACAGTTCAGAAGGTCTCTGGTTAACTTCTGCAGCAACGCTCCTCCAGATCCAAAAGAAATGTTTTCAATACTCCACCTGTGCTGTTTCATTCCTTCCACAATCTGAGAAGAAATAAATAAATAACCTCTTTGAGACACACGTCAGTCACTTTACAGGCCTCAAAGCACCCTAACCAACATTGTGAGAGGTAATCATTCTGGAAAACCTATAAAATTAGAAGTAAAACTAAAAATAAAAGCAAAAAGAACAACCAACAGATGAACACCACTATAAGGAAAAAGCAAATAATGTCACAAAGAAAGAAATGCTATTTAACAAAGCATTTAAGTGATACTGCAAACACGAGGCAAAGGCCATGTGGTCAGACAAGAAAGACATAACTGACACTTTTTGATCTAAATGTAAAGAGTTACATCTCACGGAAACCCTGTCAAACAAGCCTGAGGCAGCGTTATGTTACAGCTCTGCTTCTGATCAGCAGGGACTGGGAAGATTTTCAAGTTGATCGGAACATAGATAAAGCAAAAGAACTGGACTTGACTTGACTACTATTGAAAAGCTGTGAAAATACTTAAAAGCTGCAGTTCATAAGTAATTCCCAAGTAACATGAGAGAGCCTGAGCAAATGTGCCATAAAGAAAGCGCAAAAATCATACCGGTGTGAAAATTTGTTACTTTCTCAAAAAGACTTACAACTATAATTGCCACCAATGTTGCTTTCATCAAATACCGATATTTGGGATCTTTTCTCTTTAGTTTTTGCTTTTATCAACAGTAACTTATCTTACCTTGAGAAATCTTCAGTTTGAGCTTTCCAGAATGAATAAAATGTTATGTTTAAAAATATGTGCGCATTATTTTGGCATTTTAGAACAGTGGGACACCAGAGGAAAGGTCTGAATACTTTTGCAAGGCTACATGCATACCAGTTTTGAAAAGTACCATGTACACTGTGTCATAGGGTAATGTGTGACATATCTAAAAACAAAATAAACTAAACTCTAAAATCACCTGGAATAGATACAAAAAGATGATCATGTATGTAAAGGCCTTTAATCTTGTCTGAAAAAGAGCAATAGAACATCCCACAACACCAAATCAGAAAATGCTAACAAACTCAAAGCAATAAATAAACAAAACAGCCCACACACCTCCTGTAAAGTATTAATGTCCACTCCGTCTCCTTGGATAACCCTGATGTAGGGAGGCAGCACCTTAAAACCTTTGCTGTTTTCCACAGGCAGAAATTTCTTTCCCAGAATCTCCAGGACCTGATTTAAAGAGCACAACAATAAGCCCAAGAAAGTCTGCAGAGCTTAAAGGAGTCATAATTAACTGGTTTACTACCATGCTACGTCCATCAAATCCTTTGCATTACTGTGGACCAGTATAGTGCTCCAGGGTGCGTGTATCAAAATGCAGAAACAATCCTGTTTAACATAATTATCTTGACTGGATATGATACATACAGGAATACATACAGAAAACTGTAACTAGTACTAGTGTCTGCAATCAAAACTACTGGGGCCTCTGTAAGACCATAGTAAGTACAGTATTTAAAAAACACTGAAGAATCCAGAAAATAAATTTAGTATAGACTCACAACACAGTGATACAGTATAAATCTCAGGAATGTAAGGACATTATTTAGGGTGTTAATGTACTTCGGGAGATACAGTGTGTGTTTAAGTGTCAGTGCAAATGCAATGCAAGGCAGGATGTGGTTCACCTTTAATACAGTGTCCAGGGGGTTTCCAGAATCTGGCCTGACGAGAAGAGGAGCGTCTGCACTCCGAGACTCTATTAAACTCCGCAGATCTTCTCCCCAGATTTTCTCACAGGCGTTGTAAATGTCATAGCTGTCACTGACAATCGATACTGGTACAGAAGGGAACTGCTTCACAATGTGCTCAAATGCATCTTTCTCATGATCTTTCCCCCAGGCTGTGATAGTGCTACAAAAAAAGACAGGTTTAAACATTTTGAACGTTTGAAATTTCTCCTTGCTACCTATGAGCAAAATGGTCAACGGCTGATATTCATGGAACCTTACGCCTGAAAATAGTGAACTAAACATACAATGTAAAACACCACACAGATCACATTCCAGTAATCTGGACTAGAACTTTAATGGTTAATACAAAGTCACACAATAACCGTTTGCACCATCACTTAGACATTATTAGAGACTGTTCATACTGTACATGTTCACTTGATTTGCTGGTACACTGAACTCTGAAAGGAATTCAGACTCCACCAACCACTTCCTTTTGTTTCAGCATGAGAACAGAAATAAATGCAAAACATTAGCTGCAATTCCACTTAAGAGTATAATAAATACCTAACTGCCTCCACATCCCGGCTAAACGTGGTCAGGCAATTTGCGCAGTGAGCTCAGTTTGTGATATAGTTAAGGATGCTCTAAAAACCGAACCCCTTCAGCTTAACGTTCCTAGTCACAATTAAAAATTCAAATTTGAGTGTACTTGCGTGAAGAGTGTTACTCTGTCTCTAGGGACAGCAGAGAAATTGTGCTACACCGAGAGACCCAGTGTCCCGACACAGGAGAATTCAACACGTTTCAAGAGATGACATCACCTGCCTTAGCAGGCTCAGTACCAATGAGCTATGTTACTTTCTCCTCCTTCCCCCTCTAAATTCTTCCTTCTCCTCTGCAGCAACCTAAGGGACTAAATCACATCAGGCTCTTCAACCCTAGTCACAGCACCAATGTAACAAGTACAGATCTGCTCCCATTGGGATTCAGTCCTGGCTGCTCACAAGCAACCCTAACCTGACAGCAAGGTAGCTCTGCTCCCCAGACAGTGAAGACAGTCCCAACACACCGCATGACATGGTCTCTTGCCACAGAAGTATTCAACACTACGTGGCTTCAAAGACAGTGATGTCGCCTTCGATAACGAGCTCGTACCAATTAGCCCCATTTAACCAAAACAGAGCAAAAGCCTGGAAAAAAAACAGTATTACCTGTGTTCTGCTGCAGGCACTGAGAATCCCGGCACTGGATCCTTCGTCCCATAATACTTCTTAATGACGCCAATCCCAGCCACCGTGTCTGTTCCTTTGAAGTTCACCAAGTGAGCTGATGCCCCAATTCCAGCCGTCTGAAAAGCAATTTAGCGATAAGAGTCAACTATAAGGTAGAGTGAAAAAAAGTTTTCCGAAACTCTACGATTGTTATATCCCCTTGTAAAATAAAACTTTTTTTTGCTCAACCTGTATAAAATAATAGATTTCCATAACTTATTCTGGATAATTGTTCCAAAAATTAGAAGCAAGAAACCAAAACTGCCTCCTAAACCCTTTCTACATTTCTTTTAACTGAGTAGCATATCTTGCCTTCCTAATTTAACACTGACACTGGGAAAATTGGTTTCTTTGGGCAAATAACTGGAGAGCTCTCTCAGCAAACTGAATTCCAACACACAAGTAAGCTGACTTTCTAAGAGTAATTCAGGGGCACAAGTGATTTGCATTCCATACAGTGGAATTACTATCTGGAGAAATCTGCAACTGTTTCTCAAGTGATGTGTCAGAGTGTGGTTTTAAAGCTAAGGGGCAGAGATCAAAGAGAACAGCAGCAACAATGACCCACAGCAGTTTACCTCCTGTGATGAGACGCCTCTGTAGCCGAAGTCATGCAGCTTGTACTCCAAGCCCTCCAAGTTCCCCGAAGTTTCCATCAAGTACTTTGCCAAAATCTTCTTCTGTTCCCTGGAGTTGGTGGCAACAGTGATTGGGTACCAAATCTGGACGAGTATAGTCTACACATTAAAACAAAAGTAAAGGATCAAAAGCTTCATCTCAGAAACAATGGTACTCTTCTATATCGCTATGCAAAAGATTTGCATTAAAAAAATCTTCAAAACTCAGGATTTACCTGGGTAGTATTAGATTTGATTCTGCATAAACTCCTTTAAAGTATAGTGTAGTAAGCTGTAAGTAAATTAAAACAAATTAAAATAATGCAATATTTTTAATAATCATTATGAATCTTTTCAGTTTTCTGTATATGCAGAATTATCTTAAAAGTGAGGGCAAATATATGATAGACAAGCTGTTGCATTAATACAATCAGGCAGAAATAGCTGATAAGTCTTATCCCAATACGTGTGTGACATCACTAGTGCAAGTTATCCAATTGCCTCACTGCTGAAAACCAAACCTGCTCTTTAAAAAGGAATCAGGGACTGTAAACTTCATAGTATGCACAATATTTGAATCCTGTGAAAGTATCCAAATTCCCTGCAACTTTTTGTTGATGGAATAAAGTACTGAACTCAGGATAATCGCCATAGTCAATATAGTCATAGTCATAAGTTCTGCTAACTTTCCATCAGTCTTGAACAAGAAATAAAGTTTTTGTGTCTTACATCATTGTATTATATCACCATTCATCCATTTTCGAACTGCCTCTTCCAATTCTGAGTCGTGGGGGAGCCAGACTCTGCAAGCAATGGGCGCAAGGCAGGATACACCCTGGACGGGATGCCAGTCCATCACAGGACACACACAGATACAGATACGCACAGACTCACACCAGGAGCAATTTTCCCAGAAGCCAATTGACCAACCTAATTCCTAATAATTCAGGGTGGCGGGGGAGTCTAAGCCTATCTCGGCAAGCAACAGGCACAAGGCAGGACACACCCTGGATGGGAAGCCAGTCCGTTACAGGGTAGACAGACAGGAACACAAAAACGCACACACTCACACCAGGGCCAATTTTCCCAAAAGCCAATTAACATACCAGCATGTCTTTGGACTGTGGGAGGAAACCGGAGCTCCCAGAGGAAACCCAAGTAAACATGGGGAGAACCTACCAACTCCACGCAGACCGCACCTCAGGTTCTGAATTGAACCCAGGGCCCAAGCACTATGAGGCAGCAATGCTAATCACTGTGCCACCATGCCACCCTAAGGTAGAACATGTATAAGATTATTAATTAAATCAATAAGTACTTCATATCGTGCAATAATGGCAGCCTGGTTTCACAAGTGCCACATGCCATCATGTGTGTCATGATGCAACAAGCCGAGCACTGCATCTCATGGGGCACACACTCTTCCATGAAGAGTGAAATCAACATCGTGGGTCACTGCACAATTTCTAACAGGGCACACAAAACACCATAAAATACCACAAAACCGATTCAGACAAGTCATTGCCAGTACAACTGTAGCTGTGGTATAAGCAGATTTCCTTCTGCCTTCGGTAAACACAACCTAAGACCAAGAATCAGGCTGATATGACAACTACTGTTTGAACTGGATTGGATATATGAAAGGTGTGGAATAGTAAACACACAGAAATGGCTGTTTGGCTAACACGGAATAAGGTGCTTTCCTTGAATTTAGATATGGTATATTTGTTCTAATGGCGGGCAAATACATTATAATAAATAAGAGATTACTATTCCTTTACATAACTGTGTCAGTTTCAGCCTTTAGTTGGCTTTTGTAAGATCCAAGATAAGCACAGACTAAATGTACTGTATATCAATGACATCTTTCATTAAAGCTATTTAATTCACTGAAGTGGGTACCACTAAAAAGCTTGATTTAATCCGAGGGTCAGTAAATGAATTACACATCAATGCTTTCACAAAGCATTCTTCTAAATTCAACACTGTGAGCACTCTAAGTACAGTATATAATTACTCTGCATAAGGTTGAACTTTTTTTTTGAGTAACAAATTAAAAACAAGGAACAAGTCTGACACAGACTGGAAATCACCACTCAGTTCGTCATGTTCTAACCTATGGACCTATGCACTTCAATAAACAAAGATGATGGTCTGCTCAAGAGCTTCAGTAAATGACCGTGGGCAGCTTCCTTCTTGAAGAATGTTTACCACCAAAACATTTAAGTTACACCGGCTCACGTGCACACAGTGGAAATACAGGGCCGATATCACAGGGTTCATGAATCTCCAAGACACCAGCTGGCTCCCGGCACAACTTCACACCAGTTCATGTGCCCTTGCCCCTTGTGACACAGGCAGCCGCGTGACGGATTCTGTAGAACTTGTTTCCGCGATATTGTTTCTTAGGCTGTCTGCACTCATGATGGTAAAACAGTCCAATGCTAATTTCTACTACAAGCCATTGTTAGGTACTGGAGATACGGTACTGTTTCAATTCCACATGCACCTCACCAGCAACATTAACATTTCTGGTAGCCATTTTTGCTTTGTTCCTAAAACGCACATCACTTATAATGAAAAAGAAATTCCTCATTCCTCTTGTACAGGATACTCCATCTAATCAAACTTGTGGGTTGCGTGAAAGAAGTAAAGAAAAAGATGTGGCTTCCATGATGTGGTTTAAGCTTTTTATGCAAAAATTAAAATTATTTGGCCATAACAAATGCATTATGGTACAAACCAAAGCAATTTTTCATTATCCAAATATGACAGTAAAGACTGTAATACAATCTGTTCTTCTCTATACTGAAGGATAGCCAGATTCCTCCCTAATTAAAATATTGTTAAATTAACTGATGTCATGTAATAGAGAGATGTATGGTTTGTTTCCCCTCATTTCAAATTTAGAGAGTACAGTCCTCTTAAATTTGAACTGAGACCAAGTTATTTGCAAGTGACTGAATGATAGTTACTTGAACGGGTAAGAGAGTGTAGAAAGACCAGTGTTATTTTCGTGGCTTGTGTGTGTTGTTTCAATATAAAGTTTCTTAGATTCAGGAAAGGAATACAATCCTTTAGTGAAAGACAATAGCCTATATAATTCAAACAATAACTTCACACTTAAATTAAAATTGTAGAATTTTCATTGTCCAGTGGTTTCTTGCCAAAATGTTTTTGTGTATATTTTAAATATTTTAATTCTAGAATGTATTACTTGGTGCAAAGGAACAAGTGAAGGTTTATTCCATGCTGAAAGGAGAAGAAAGGAAACAACATTTCGGCTGTAGAGCCTTCTTCGGGTGTGTAACTACTAGGTGTAATGTAGTCACAGTGTACACTGCAGTTCTAATTTCCCTTTTTCTACAGATTCATCTATTTAACATTATTAATACAGGGCAATATCTCCATGTGTTGTTATTTTTCATTAAATTATCCTTATCACACCTTTCTTCCTTGGTGTTGTAGTTTTATTTATTTATTAAATGCAAAGTCCCTGTGCCAAACAACAGTTTCTGGGCTGGTTGTGTTGAGGGTGTGCAGTCCTCCATTGAGTCTGTGGCTTGGGCAGTCCAATAGGATGTGCTCCATAGTTTGCTCCATCCCACAGGAAGAAAGGGGGACTGCACTGATCTCCCATAATCCAGAGGTCGCCAAGACATAGACCATGACCAATCCTAAAGCAGTTTAGAGTGGACTCCTCTTTCCTAGGAACGTGAGAGCCAGGAGGTGAGTGGGTAGAGCAAGATGTGTGGTTTGTTAAATCCAGTTATTCCCACTCTTGAGCCCAGGCAGCATCTGCACTGAAGTCCTGTTGGGAAGGGTTTTTCCAGATTGGCTTTTTTGAAGGCAGACATGTATTTGGTGGGTTAAATATGTCCTTGTGTATTGGTAGGTGGGGGGACATTTTGGATGTTTTTGGCACATTTTGTTGGTGATCCCGAGTTGTTGAATGTGTGGAGTGATGTTTCCCAGGATAAGGAGCCATGGGAGAGGGGTGCTGCTCAGGGTTCCAGTGATGATGTGTATGTTAGCAATCAGCTGGGTGTCTACTCTGTGAGTGTGAGGTGATCCTGTCCAGACAGGGGCACGGTATTCTGCTGCTGAGAAAGGTAGTGCAAGGGCTGAGGTCTGGGGCTGGTAGTGGCAGGGCCCAATGTTGTACCAGCAAGTTTGAGGACCAGATTGTTCCTTGTTTTGACTTTGGCTGCTGTTGTCTTTCAGTACTCCTAGAAGGTAAGCGTCCTGTCTAGGGTCACTCCAAGGTATGCTGGAGTAGGATGGTGCTGCAATTTCTGATTGTTCATCTGAATGTTGAGCTATTTTGTATCTTTTGCATTGTGGAGGCAAACTAGACAAGATACTGCTTTTGAGGTGCCTGGGTTAGAGTCACCATGTGTTGCAGCACTGTTCAAGTTTTGATATGTCCTTATTTAGGACGTGGTCCAAGATTTTGGCAGGTCATTTATGTACAGATGAAACAGGGTGGGACCCATTACTGATCCCTGAGGGAGCCCATTGTGTCGGCCATGTCCATGTACTTGCTGCCGAGATTTACTCTGAATTGTCTCATGCTCAGCAGGGTTTGGATTATTTTGGTTGCCCAGGATGGAGGGCCGCAGATAGCTTCCGTAGAAGTGCCAGACTGTGCCATTGGCAGCTGTGAGGTCAAGAAACACAGCGCCAGTCTTCAGGGTTTTCTGAAAGCCATTATCATTAAGGTGTTGAGGGCAGCAATCCTTACAGAAAGCAGCCTGGTCCACACTGAGGTCTTCTTCTACAACTAGTGTGATGTATTGGAGCATGAGGCGCTCAAGGATATTGTAGGAAACTAGGTGATAGTGGACTACTTCCTTTACATTTTAAGCATACTTCATTAACTTAGATGCTAGTGAAGATACTATACTGTATAGAATGTCACCACTCTTTTAAGACAAATATCCCCTTCTGCTTTTATTTCATCAAAACTACACCCCCCCCATTTGACTCAGCGCAGTATTGTATCTAGAACGATACAATATGAAAAATGTATACAAAAACCAACACAAATCAAACTATTGCACATCTAGTCTTTCCATTTTGTTATAAAAGGACCAAAGGACTGCAATATGTCAAAGCCGTTTTCAGTTCCAACTAATAATTGACTGGAAAAGCTCGCGCTAGCTTTTTAGGCACGTTGAGACACCTGATTTGTATTACTAGAATATTTTTAGAATATTAAAACTAGAATAGGCTCTTTTGGTGTGTAAAGCAAATTCTTTGTTTATTTCTGTTCATGCCCTCAACTGTTACAGTTCACAGATGCGTCGTGCTCAAAACGGACAAGCTATCCCCTCGTGTTCAGTGCACTTGGGAATGACAACAGCTATTTTTGCCCAGAATGTGAAGCCGTGAGAAACATCCTGAAATAGTTCATGGCAGCCCTGGCGCTCACATGCTCTTAACGCCACTGTCAGTGTTATACTTGCATGTGATCTTCTCAATACGAAGCTTTTTGCTTGGCTGCAATGTCCACACCACATGACACTGCGATCAGGGCAGCGCAATGTCAACCTGGCTCCTAGTCTTCAGGCGCGCTGAACTGCAAGTGTGCAGAACTGCTCACCTTGGGCACGACAGATATGACAAATCGGAATGATTATTTCAAGGCTGTGAGGCCGATCGCACACAGACATGCTGGCCCTGAATGGTTATTTGAAAGCTCATTCACAAAGCATATTCATGAAGTTATAAAGCCCTTCCCCAAGCCAGGCTTTGCCAATAAGAGATAAGAGTGCCACAGTTTAAGAGTGTTAGGACTGTTATAGCCACACGTGTAGCCTGTCAGGAATTCTTGACAACCCGTGGCATCGCATACAGTTCCAGGACGTAACTGGGCACCCACGTCCTTGTCGCCACAAAGTGAGCTATTCACGCAATCCTGGTTCATGCCAGTTTATTCCACTATTGTAGTTACAGAAGTATTGAAAGAAACTAGAGCTGAACTGAAGACAAGGACATCACATGCCCCGGTTTCTCCACAATTTTAAATGTACACTCACATAAGATGCTAAACCACACCAGCTTTAAATCACAGCCAGTCCAGAAAAAAAGAAATCTAAGAAGATAAGAATGTTTACAAGTGCAGTTGACCGACAACAGGAGGCCCTTCCACCCATCTAGCTTGCTTCGTCTAACTGATCTATGGACCTCTACCTTCCTATCATTTCTTATAGAAGCAATAGTGCCGGATTTGGCAATGTGATTAGGTAATGTGTTCCACAACATGCCTCCTACTTAACCCTGAGTAAGCAGTGCCTCCTGTTCTCAGTTTTAAGTGCAAGTGTAATTTCAAACTTCCCTCTTCCATATTGCCTCCGCAAATTCTACCCACCACACTCTTCATCACTGATCTGCCCAACGTGCTCCCTTGTGCAGTAACTGCGATACAGAGAGGACACTGTTTGAGAGTTCCATGTTTACCCTTTTAAAACAATAATTTTGTCCTTGAACAAAGGTCAGTGTAACATCCACTCTACGGCTGAAAAAAGTGCAAGAAGAGTAATGTCTTTAAGCTCACTGTTGTCATTGTTAAGAGTCTTTATAAGTTAACGTTTTTTTAATTTTATAGTACTAGAAAAATACTGATAGAGTGATGTTGTTAAAATGTTGCTTATGTATTTTGGTATTGTACTGTTATCCTACTGTATTATTGTCGTACATGCTATACGTTTATAAGCTCTTGATGTGCAGGACAGATTCCCTTAGGGGCAATGAAGGTTAAGAGGTTAAGGTTAATGAGTAACGTCTGCCAAACTCAATATTGTACACTCTGGAGAAACAATGATAATTGCATGCCTAAAACCCAAGAGGTCACTCTGCCTCGTCAGATCTACCGCATCTAAGTCCTTTAACCATTGACAACAGTTGACATCACTCAAGCCAGACTATCATCATCATTTTCATGACTGCCCTCATCTGAGACTGATGAATCAAAGCAGATGGAGTAAGAGGGAGCGATCGGCCACTCTTCCCAAAAACAAATATCTTAATTTAGGAAGTCTTCACAAATATCATCCTTTAGGATTTTGGGTAAAAACAGTAACAATATTTTATTAAGCTGATACATCTATTATGTTATTATTATTTTGTCGTGGTAAGGTGTGTGTTATCTATAAATATGGTCTGGAGTTCTTCTTGAATATCACCCCTAACTTTGTAAACAGCATAGAAGCTGTGATAAATTTTACAACTAGAATCTCTACATTTTTATGATAATTATTAAGTTGATGCAATTATAGAAACATTTAAAGAAAATTTTAAAAATGGGCTATGAGCTACATTTAAAAGAATTTAATAGGTTGAATCAGTGCATCAACACCCACTCTGTGCAATGTACATTGACGGGGGTAACTTAACAGATTTTTCTCATTGCACCACATTTAAATGACAGCAATTTTTTAGATGATGGGAGTACTTGCTGTAGATTTCCGATTTGCACAAATTTAAGAAAAAGGTCTGGATTGATTTTAGATAATGCTAATTACAGCGACATTCACCCTTACTGACTTACTGACAATTTCAGTAGATCTGACATATAATGTTCATATACTAGCACTTTCTAGTGGCAAATACATTTCCAAAGGTAGATAAGATGTTTTTAAACATGGTCGAAGCAGAAAAATATGATACACATGAGAGAGATGAAATTTAAAAGAACATCTGTGTTCTCCATAGAAAGCTTCTTCCAGAGTCATGTATAAGACGATGGATCACATGATATTCTGCTGCAGATGCCAGGTGCTCTGCTGTGTTGTACATGACAGCTGACAGGTACAAAAGCTCTGCACTATCTCTGACCCACCTAATGAAGTTGGCTCAGAGCCATGAAAAACAAAAAAGTGAAGGTGTGCAGCTGATACAAGTAAATCACACAGAGCACTACGTGTCTTCAGAGTGGACCTGCCAGTCGTCATCTGCATCAGATGGGCTTAGGGAAAATAACTCTGGCTATTTAAACTCACTGTAAATGCAGGCGAGAAACAAAAGTAAACATCTGGGGAAATAAAGTTTCAGAAAGACTATCTTTGACCACATAAGATGACTTGTTTCCTTGTTCTTCTTTAAGTATTAATGCAGTTAATAAAATTTTAAATCAGCTTTACTATACTGCTAAAAAGCGGTCCCACTCCGAGTACTCTATATGTATTCTAGTACTGTAGCAGTCTGTAGCAGGAGATGAAGATGTTTATCCAGTTGACTTTTTTAGAACCCTTCCCCAAAAGAAGTTCATTAGGCATATCTGCGTTGGACAAACTTAACTCTCTATGCAACCTAGCAAAGTCAGTTAATACCTGTATGCAAACACCATTACACTCAAATGAACAAACAGCCTTACCTATACTATATCTACATAGCTTTAAAACACTGGGTAATAAAAGATACATGGTAACCTTTGATTTGCTGAAAGCCAAGGACACTCCTACTTCCAATTAATTTATCCAGAATCTTTATCTTTTCTACTAATATCATAACCTTACACGTTTTGTTCTCTACACTACTAATTTCAGGTGTCTCACGTTTTAATGCTCTGTAAAGGTTATAACCAAAACAAAAGTACAAAAAAAAGTAAAAAAAGACTCTCGCAGTAACAGTGTATACCAGGCTGAAAGAGAGAGATGACTGTGCCTGTCTCTGGTGTGTTGGAGAGGTCCCTGTAAGATTATAGAGTGCTTATACTACCATGTATGAACGTGTTCATACCGCATTTTGGGCTCGACGGATATTTGTTCCCATTGATTTTCTTGCGTGTGATCCACGTTGGAGAAGGCTTTACTATGTAAATAGCAGGCACATTCACGATAATTAATAGTAAACTTTATTTTATATAGCACCTGTAAAGGTGGCTTCTCAAAGCACTTAACATAATGACAACAGCAACAACAACAATTAAAAATGAACAATAAAAAATACACAAGATAAACCCGATGACACTACACAGAGGAGATAGTAGATGGTGGTACTAAATACAGCAGGAGCAGAGGGGTAAAGAACGGAATCAGTTAAGTAAAGGCTCTTCTAAAGAAGAAGGTTTTGAGTCTGGATTTGAAGGAGTTTAGAGAAGGTGACTCTCTGATATCCATGGGGAGAGAGTTCCAGAGCTTAGGGGCATAACAGGAGAAGGCCCTGTCACCCATAGAGTGCAGACAGGCCTGTGGGACAGTTAGGAGACCAGAATTAGAGGAGCAAAAGTTGTGAGATGAGGAGTAGGGCGATAATAGATCAGACAGGTACTGAGGTGCCAAGCCATCCAGAGCCTTACAGGTGAGCATGAGGATTTTGAAGTTAACACGAAACTTGACAGGAAGCCAGTGCAAGGACTCCAGGATAGGAGTAATGTTATGACTTGGACTAGACCTGATCAGGATTCTAGCTGCCGAATTTCGGACATACTGGAGTTTGTTCAATGTGGATTTAGATACCCAAGCGAGGAGAGCATTACAATAGTAAGGATTGTGTGTTTTTGAACATTTAGTGGTATGGTTTTAGACTTTGTGAAAAGTAAGGGTGACAAAAAGGAAAAATTAAACCAGACCTGTCATAATCCAGTGAAACAGTGGGTAGGACGATAAAACACACTAACCTCAACCCAGTTGGTGAGCCAGTAGCACTCAGGATCTGTACTCTCGACAGTGAAAAGCACATTTCCTCTTGGAATGACGCTGCCCTCAGGGACTGCCTTGATTTCAATGGGAAGATGGCCATCATACTTCTGCAATATTACAACATATAACATGTTAAGGAGCACTTGTTTAATGTGAAGTAGACAATGAAAAAAGATTTTATCTTCAATAAGGTTACTGTATAAAACAACATTTCAGGCTTAGACAATTTTTATGTGAATGTTTCTGTATAAATGATCTTCCTCATTCCAGCTGCTGCTGGAGTGAAATCAAAGTATTTTGTGGGTCCCTACATTCACTTCCTGAAAGTTAGAAAGTTACTAAAGGGCACTACAGTCAACTGTATGATTTGTAATAAGTGGTACAATGAAACCTCTCATCAGTGCTCCAACAGAAAGTGACAAGAAGAAGAGAAATCTATTGGAGCTTCAGATTAATGAAACCATAATGACGTAAAACATTATTTTCACCGCATTGCCCTTTTATTGCCATCAGCAAAATTTAAAATTCAGAAAGTACAATGTTTTTCTTTTTCTTTGGGTCAGTACACGCTATTCTGGGACAATGCCACTGTGATGTAGACTAGGGAAGTGGTAGCACAGCAAGTATAGAAACAGGCAACCAAGAAAGTCCTGTGTCCCGAGGGAACTCTCAGGGAAAGAAAAGCTGTTCCTAAAGATGAACTGCTGTGGACTGACGAAGTCTTATGCTCTCCTCTATGAGGCTCCCCTGTACCTCTAAAATGTAGTTCCACCCTTTCTCATTGAACACATCATCCTGGAAATGTTCCCTATACACCTCCTTGGCTTCCTGGATTTTTTCTGGGGTCGCCACCTTGCCTGCAAAATAAAGGACGTTACAAGGGCATTAGTATCTGGTAATACTGTGCTTCACAGATTAGTTTAGGCATTTGTTATTGCGTAACACAGCTCTCGCCCCCGTAACAGAAGACCTTTGTTTTCTAGAAGTTGGAGGTACTTGTACTCATGTACTGTACTATGCAAATAACCTGCAGCTGGCACGTCTAACTGGATTTACACACTTCAGAATTTTTTAAATATAAGATTAGGATTATTTCCGTTGCTTTGGGCGCCATTTAAAAAGATGACTTTTTTTATATAAACCACTAGGATAGCTTTAGGTTTAAACACCTTTACTGTGTATAACATTCTTATCTGGCTATTTACAGTGATGGTGGATAATGAACTAGTACAGAATGTAGTTATCTACTAATTCCTAGATGCATCACATTTTTCATAGAAGATAGTGAATCATGGGCTTCTGAACTGTTTACGAGTAGCCTTTACATTGGAAACAAATACATACCTTAAAAAAAAGAAACAAGTAAAGGTTTATTCCATGCTGAAAAGAGAAGAAAAGAAACAAAACCTTTTGGCTCTGGAGCCTTCTTCAGGTCAAACCTCCGAAATATTGTGCTTCTTTTCTTCTCTTTTCAGCGCAGAATAAACCTTTACTTGTTCCTCTGCAGCCTACACATGCTGACGCAGCTTCCTACTAGAACTCCTTAAAAAAATAACTTGCCATCTAGCACCAATGGATTAGAAACGCCCTCCAGTACATCATAATCTTTAAGAACATTAAAAAAAGGCTACAAACAAGAGACTGTTTGGCCCACCTAGCTTGTTTGTTGCTAGAAGGTATGTGATTTGAGGATCTCATCTTGCCTGTCAGGGTATGGCTTCAACAACATTGCTGTGTACTTTGTTCCCAATTGTTATGCAAAACCCTTGAATATTAGAACCCGGAATATCACAACCTGAGCTGCAACAAGTTAATTTTGGTTTTTTTTGGACATTTTTGCAGAAGCCTAACAATTATTAGGCAGCAAAGAAAAGGAAAGACCCAAGATGCTGAATGTCACAATAGCAAAATATCTGATCATTACTCTCAGTTATAAAACAGAGGAAAGATCACCAACCTTCAGAACCACAAATATTAAAAGACACTTGCATGTTTGATTTATAGCATCAGTATTAAACATACCTTTTAAGTATTTGTGGAGAATATACTGCAAACCATAAAACACAGTCTTGTCGTATTTCACCTTCCTGGCCTTTGTAGCATCAGTCTTCTTTTCACGGCATTCAAAATACGAATACACTTTGCTAGTGTTGGGAGGGTACTGCTTATAATGAGTGACCTAGAGAAGAAACAAGGTTTTTACTTAATTACAGTAAAGTCTATAAATATTCCAAATCATTTGGACCAACATTACTTCAAAAAACCTTAATGAAGCACGTTTTGTTTGAACATTTAGAAGAACGTGTGGGGGGAAAAAAAGCACTCTTTTACATTGGGTGTCTGAACGGGCAAACAAAAAATGTTTTTATGTACACACACACACATTTATCATTTCCAGTTGTTAGGATTGTGGCGATGTGCTAGGAGCAGTATGTCCCTCGGATGACGATACCACAAGCCAGCAGGCACCCAGGAAGTTGCCGGGGATGCTGTTTCTCCAGTTGTCGAGACAACCCTGGCAGACTAGTCCCAGGGCTGCACAATTGGCTACCTCCTGTGGCCGCTAAGCCAATCGAGCTCCACCAGCTGAAGAACCTCACTCGGTTTGCTTGTGACGTGGGACCAAGGTCAAAGTAAACAAAAGACTTTTAAAGGATTTGCTTTTTTGTGCACAACCACAAAATGCTGGAAGAAATCTAGAGACCTTGTTAATTTACTTAACATTTCATAGCACAACCTTACTTCAGCCACTAGCATAAAAACAGGTATTTCAGTAACGGGGAGGAATTTCAGCCGAGGGCTCTTGTGTGATATTAGTTACAGTATATAATTACTAATTATATAATAACATAAATGCAGTTGAGAGAGTGATCATTACTATAGGCCTTTAGATTACTGGGCACTTACATAAAATGCATTTCACTGCAGTATTTCATGATGTGTTCCTTGAGATTAAGGGCCTCACACAAAACCAGTTTAACAAGCGTAATCCACGACCCCAGGTTAAGGAGAAATAATGTATATTTAATATGCTTTATTTGTAGGGGTTTACAAAACAAAGGCCAGCACCTGTCACTCCTGATCATCTGAGGGCTTAGGAAAGACATGCCCTCCTGGTCCCGGGAGATGGGAAATGAGCTCCTGTTTTGGCCACCACCTGCTGCCTGTGCACTGAAGACCAGGAAAGGCAGGCCTTTGGGACTACAGGTTATGCCCTTTCGTCCAGACCCCACTGGTCCGTCTTCTCCCAAGCGTGGCCGCACATCTAGCCATTAAGGTTAGGTGGGATGAGGTAAGACGGGGTACCCTCAGCTTACTGGACAATAGTGAGCCTTAGAGCTCATGGACTCGCGCCTCCCGAAACTGATGCTGTGAAAATGGCTGTGAGTAACTGGAGGAGGAGTATTCCTTTCCCTCACCCCACCTTTGTATGTATGCTGTAAAAATAGGGGGTTTGTACAAGGGGTCTGCAACCTGTAAAGCCTAGTTAACAATTATCGAATTTGACAGAACACAAACCCATTCATGCCCTCTCTTCTACCATGCTTGATGATGCAGTTCTGTTAAAACCGTAAAAAGGTGATAAGGCCTGATTTCACGATGAGAATTTCTCCCGGTGTTTTCAATAAAATCCAGCATACCGACATTATAACAAATCAGCACGAACAATAATGTAACCACCAAATGAGAAGAAAGATAGGCAACGCAAATTCTTCTTCTCGTTATTGCAGTTCCAGTTTCTCAGACCGGTTATTACATCTCGATAACAAATTAAATTAATTGATGGCATCGCAACATTTCACACATTCCAAATTAAGCAAGAAATTGTCACCTTTGTGAAAGTACTGTATGGTCACCATCTTGTCACAAACTGCTGGTCTCCGAAGGGCAAGGGTGAGAGATCGCACAAATTGTAAATCGCCCCTTCCTGCTCACTAGTCACCGTAGTGACTAATGTAATGAGACGTACGAGCTAAGAAGTACAGGCTGTGGACAGACATTTCGGGTTGCACAGGTTGTGCAACGTGATCTGCATGGAGAGTTAACAAGTGCTGTGAGTAGTATTTGTCTACAAAACTGTCTTGAAGTCGAGAGCATGTTCTTTTGGATTATAAGAGATGTATTCATAAATCTGCTTGTTCACAAGATAACAGGGCCACTTTAGGAAGTTATGTTGCCTTGTTCTGAATCGCTGATAATGATGGCAATATGGTGCTGCACATACCTGGAAATGTTGTCTATTTTGTGCACATTTCGGTGTACTATTTTACACATTACTGTGTACATTTTACTTTCATTGTGGTTTGAAATGCATTCACCAATGCCGATTCTTTCTAACCCCAAACTATAATAACAGCATCACCGTTCCCCTTTAAGAAGAATGTTAAAGGAATACTCCCTGATATAAAGACATAAAAAAATCCTACTGGCCTTGTTGTTATCAAAGCTAGACTTGTGAGTAAAAACAAAGGGACTGAGTTATTGTTACCCAACGTCATTTACATTACTCTTCACCTTCCTCATCTTCTTGGGAAAAAGAGGAACTAGGAACGAGCTTCTTTTTCTGTGCTGTAAAGCTGACTGCATTTAAAGAAAGACCAAGAATTTCCAGGAAACTACTGCTGCATAAAATGCTTTCTGTATTACACAATGTCACCAGCCCGCCTAAGGATTAGCAATACAATCACAAGCCCTGTGCCTGCACCCTTACAGCACAATATTGTTCTGCCCCTGCCACAGCGTGCCCACAGCTCTGTCACTAAACCCACAAACAATCCCAGCATCCTTCGGTAAATCAAACCACTGAACCCCTTATGTATTCCTACCAGCAAACCTCTGTAAGAAATGCCAGCAGATATAAAACTCCCTAAGCTTATAATCATAGCTTTGTCAGTCAATGTACTTTGGAATCCTAAGGAATAACCTTACTAAGATAAAGAAAGTTTGCAAACAGAAGGTGGACCCCTGGCCTGAATGGACATTTTACCAGCTACATGAACCTAACATTTCATTCCGCATTTGTTTGGGTGCCCAAAGTTTGGGCCAGGAATCATTCTTCTTGCTTTTCTTTGAATTAATTCTAAAGCTACTACATTCTTTTAGTGGTAATACGATCAAAGCAAACAAAATATTCTAAATGAGCTATTACTAGGACTATACAAAGCCTGAGTATAACTTCTGATATGTAAATTCTACACTTTTCACTGTACACCCAAGCTTTTCTGATTGCACTTTGATATTCTAATCGCTTCCCCCACCTTGGCTTCATGAGGTCATAGAAGAATCAACATATACACCCAGATCCTTTTGTCCATAGCTTCCTTGCAGCTCGAAATATGCAATATGTGTAGTGTATGTTCCTACTATCAGTGTGCATCCCTTAGCAGTTTTCAATACTAAATTATTTTTTTCAAGTGTCTTTCCAAGTCATGATTTTGTCATCCTACAATCCTAGTACTGATATTTCCATTTGCCATCCCTAAACTGGGTATAATCTGGAAATGTAACTAGTTTTCGAACTTTATCAGAATCATCAATATAGATCTGGAAAAGCAATGGGCCTAAAACAGATCCCTGTGGTACACCTCTTACATCCGCCCAGTTACACGTTGTGTCCCATAAGAAGAAGAGTTGCTCCCTGGTTATGAACCACTTCTCTGTCCATTTGTATAAATTACCTTTCGTTCCTGTGCCTTTTAATTTAAGAACCAACCATTTCTGAGGAACAATATTGTGAGCCTTCTGGAAATTTAAATCATGTTGCATGCTCCAGTGTTATCTACTGCCCTTGCTGCTTGTTCAAATAATTTTAAGTTAAACAAGACATTCCCTAACAAAATTCACCTTGGCTCTTAAAACACCACTGTTCTACAAGTATTCTGTTTATATGGCATTAGCTATCTTTTTCTAACTCTAACAGTAATATAAGTATGACAGATTGGTCTACAATTTCCTTTCAGATTTCCTTCTTACAATTTGGTATTACTCTTTTCCCCTCTGATCTGTTGTTGCTGCTTCTACCATTCTAAGGGCAAGCTGTAACATTCAGGGTTCTGGAACGCCCTCTGAGGCTGCTGTAGAACAGTGGTTCTCAACCTTTAAAACTTAATGCCCTACTTTCAGTTCATACAAACCACTGGCCCCCACCTTGGTGTATGGGCTAATCATTTGTATTTAAATTTTTATAATTGATTTAAATTGCTACTTCTGAACTTAATCTGACATCAGTGAAAAATAATTTTGAGTTAAAAAAATAGTGGAACAGATTGAAGGAAGTATGATCCAAATCCACATTTGAACTTCAGTTTAATTTAAGACTTCACTTCAAACATCACTGTGAGCTCTGGCGCTGTATGTATGCCATAAGTGTTGACATTTTTGGTTTTCTGGAAGAAGGAGTGCAACTCAAGTCACTTTCAACATCCAGTCTCTTGTGGTGCTTATTTCTGATAATTGAAAGTGCAGAAAAATTTAGTTTCAAAGAATTTGCTTGTTAGTACGAAAAACACGTCAGTGATTTAAAACAGAATATCGTGAGAAGGCGAGCCTTACGTTTCTATCTATAAATTGCGGAAAAAAAACATTTTCTTACAGTCAGAAAAACGTGGTACTCATTTCAAATTAGTTGTATATGAAAAGCTCGCACTTCCTTATATGCTTATCCTCATATGTCCTCCGAGGAAAGCACCCCAACGATTGAGAAGCCCTGCTGTTGTATCTGTCGGTTCTACCAAAACTACACCATATTACTGAAGCCCAGTCTATCACATGGGAGCGTCTAATTGATGTCTAAATGACAAAACACATAACCAGTCATGGTTTTCTTCCTGTACTGGGCAGGATCCAGAATCACCAGTGACCTTGGTTTTGACACCTATCAGTCTTCATACACAGCCCTCCTGGGGCCTGTCTTAGCCTGGGCAGAATGCAACGGCTAAAGGTCAGTTTGTTTCTCCTGTTACAGTGGACCTTTTCACTACTCCTTCCCTTCTCTTCTCTTGGTACCATAACTTAGAAATCACTGACTCCTCCCTGCCAAAAACATTTTTTTCCTAATTTTTAGAAAACCCAAACAGCTTTATACTTCACAGACAGCTGATGTAGGCTCTAAATAAAAGTTCTGAAAGGCTACAATCTGTGGGGTTAAATTCATCTCAAAGATTAAATGCTTCCACCCCA